GAAATATTCAAGAGAAGTTCGAGAAGTTGGAAGAAAATTCTAGAAAGATTAATGAAGAAAATTCTAGAAATATTCAAGAGAAGTTGGAAGAAAATTCTAGAAATTTTGAAGAGAAGTTCGAGAAAATGGAAGAAAACTCTAGAAATATTCAAGAGAAGTTCGAGAAGTTGGAAGAAAATTCTAGAAATATTCAAGAGAAATTCGAGAAGATGGAGGAAAATTCTAGAAAGATTATCGAAGAAGTCTCTACATCAATTGAAGAAAAAGTTGAAGATAGAATTACGGAAGTTTCCAAAACATTTAAAGCAACATTCGTTGAGATTGAGCACAAGTATGAAGAGCTGCGCGAGCAATTCTTGCGACTGACTACGGAAGAGCGTACTAGTAGTGCCCCAGATGAATTACTGATGGACCGTCTTCTTGAGGTGCTACAGTCTACTCATTACAAGAAGGTCGACCCAGAAACAAATACAAGAGTAGAAGGCGACGTTCAGCAAGCCCGAGTAAAGCCACCTACTTTTGATGGTAAGATTCCTTGGACCACGTACGTTCGACAGTTTGAAGCAGCGGCTGCGGCAAATAAATGGACTATTCAAGACAAAACTACAGCCCTGATTCTTGCTCTGAGAGGAGATGCTCTGGATGTGTTGCGGACCATCCCCGAGGATCAACAGAACTTCCAACAAATAGTAGCGCGACTCGAAATGCGATATGGCGATAAACACCTTCAGCAAGTTTACTATGCCCAAGTCAAGAACCGAATGCAGAAACCTGGAGAAAGTTTGCAGGAACTTGAAGCGGACATCGCTAGACTGATTCGATTGGCATACCCTACGGCACCGGAGAGCTTTCTTGATCAACTGGCTGTACAAACATTTATCGATGCCGTTCGTGATGGAGATGCCCAGCAGGCTTTGAGACTGGCTAGGCACGACAAAATTGAGAAAGCTTTGGCCCATGCGTTAGAATTCGAAGCCGCCAAGAAAGCTAGTCATGGGAGTGCGTGAGTACGTATGGTGGAACCTCGCAGTGACAGCCGGGTAAGAACAATCGAAGAGGAAGGTGGCTCTGAAAGTTTTGAAGAAAAGGTCAGTAAAGTAGTGGAAGAAAAGGTCAGTAAAGAAGTGGAAGAAAAGGTCAGTAAAGTAGTGGAAGAAAAGATCAATAAAGCAATACAGTCACTGGCAAAGAAACGTGAACCACGATGTTGGAATTGCGGCGAGATTGGACACGTTCGCCGCAACTGCCAAAAACCATTGCAGCAGCCGGAAAACTAAGAAAGGTCGACAGGAAGGGGCTATCGTCGACCTGCAGAAACAAAACCCCGATCTTCACTGTAAACATTTCGTCGTCTGGAAAAGTTCACAATAATGCAGACGCTTTGTCAAGAAGACCGTGCAAGGACAACTGCACACATTGTTCTAAAATAGAAGACAAGATTGGCCATCAGGCCATCTGCGACGAACAACTGTAGAGAGTGAGGAGTGGAAGCCAAGCGAAATCAAAACGGCCCAAGAAAACGACCCAAGTATAAAAACTGTTCTGAATTGGATGCGCCACGGACAAAGACCGGGCTGGCAAGACATTAGTGCCACAAGTCCTGAAGTAAAGAGTTATTGGGGCCAATGGAATAGCCTGACTCTGAAAGACAACCTGTTGTATAGGACCCTTGAAAGTGAAGATGGCACCGAATCGACGCTGCAATTAGTAGTACCTAGAAGCAAAGTGTCGGAAGTATTGCGAAAATTGCATGACGGCGCTTCCGGAGGACACTTTGGTATTACGAAAACGTTGCAAAGGGTACGTCAGCGATTCTATTGGGTCAACCGTAAAGAAGATGTCCGGCGATGGTGTCAAAAATGTGAGTTATGTGCTACTGGAAACGGACCAGTTTCCAAGAAGAAGGCACCCATGAGGCAGTATAACGTTGGTAGTCCGATGGAGCGAGTTGCTATCGATATCGCAGGACCGTTTCCCGAGACAGATGGCGGAAATAAATATATCCTAGTGGCTATGGATTATTTCACAAAGTGGACTGAAGCTTACGCCATTCCAAACCAAGAGGCAGCAACAGTTGCAGAAGTGTTGGTAAAGGAGTTCTTTGCACGTTTTGGTGTTCCTATAGAAATCCATTCAGACCAAGGAAGGAACTTTGAATCGGCTTTGTTCCAAGATGTTTGTCGATTGGTAGGAGCCAATAAAACCAGAACAACACCTTTTCATCCTCAGTCAGATGGAATGGTGGAGAGAATGAATCGAACGATGGGTAAATATCTTTCAAAAGTCGTGGCAGAACATCAGAAAAATTGGGACCAGTACCTCCACCTGTTCCTTATGGCATATCGATCAGCCGTTAACGAGACCACGGATCAGACTCCTGCCTGCCTTATGTTGGGTCGTGAACTACGCCTTCCATGTGATCTCGAGTTTGGGCGTAAACCCCATGAAGAATATGTCGCAGGTGAAAATTATGTTGACCAACTAAAGGCGAAGATGAACGATATTCACGACTTGGCTAGAAGTCACATTCAGATTGCCAGCGATCGCATGAAAAATCAATACAACCTCCGCTCGGCCAATGAAACTTTTGAAGCTGGAGATCTGGTATGGCTGCACAATCCACAGAGACGAAGGGGTCCTTCTCCCAAGCTACAAAGACAATGGGAAGGTCCGTATGAGGTGATCAAGAAAATAAATGACGTGATATATCGTATCAGAATGAACCACCGGAAACCGAAAGTTGTCCACATTAATCGACTCGCACGATATGCCGGATTCAACAACAACGAAGACGTTAGAGGTATTCGAGAAGAGGAACGCAGCTTTGGGATCGAGCCAAACTTTAACGATTTTATGTCAAATTACGCCCAGCGGAAGAAAGCTCGATTTGGCGTTACTCAGGAAATTTGCCAAAATATTTTTGAGCTTCCGGTTAACGTTTCCATCGCCCATTGTGTCGCCGAAGACCTTCGCATGGATAGAGGTATAGCTTCCGTATTCCGGAAAAGATTTGGAAGAATGGACGAGTTGTTAAAGCAAAGACCACGAGTGGGTAAAGTACTGCGCTTGGAAGATAGTCAACGCTCTTTGTTGTACTTGGTTTCAAAGAAAACGTCAGAAGGCAAACCCACCTATGAAAACCTCTGGTCTGCTTTAAAAAGCTTAAAGAAACTCATGGCATACTATGACATAAATAGCTTGGCGATCCCGAAGATTGGATGTGGTTTAGATGGGTTGGACTGGAAAATAGTGCGAACCATGATCGAAGTGATTTTTAGAAACACTAGCGTTCGAATTATAGTATGCTGCTTCAACCCACAGGGGACGACCCTCCGCAAAACTGTGGACTGTTACTTTTTCAAGAAAGGTGTTTGTCGAGCAGGCTCTGACTGCAGATTCCGACACGAGGCATTAAAAAGTAATACTAACGCAGTTTCTGAACGAGACGTCCAGAATTAAGAAGGGGGCAGTGTAACGGAAATGCTCCAGACATGACGTCGCCTTTAGCGCTCTGGAATTTTCTACGCGTATTCGAGAATGTTCGGGACTTACATTGCTTGCGTGTATAAATGGTTGCGGACCGAACATCGCGGCAGTCTACTACCGAACGAGTACGTAAACATCGAGCACGGAAAGATAAATTGCGAAGTGTGAGTGATATAAATAATCGATATAAATTTGTGAGTGATATAAATAATCGATATAAATTGTACGGATTTTATAGTGTTTTAGTTTTGTTTAATAAATATTGATATAAATCGAACCCGAATTTATAAATAACGTTCCATTAATATATGGTGGAAAGGGCGAGGTCGGAAATATATTACATCAGGAATAAAAGAAGTGAAAGAAATTATGGTAGGATCGAGGACGGAATCGGATCACCACCAGCAGGTGGAGATCACTACAAGAGGATTGACAGGCCGTAAGAAGAGTGTGGGAACACAGCATTGGGCCAAACAAAAGAGACAAGTGGAATAGGAAAGGAAGAGTTAGAGGAGAAGGAACTGAGGGATGAAAAAGGAAAGTAAAAAAATGTAAAGAAAAACATGAAGAATCAGAAAGAATGAAATGAAATAATATAAACAGAGACGGATTGCTGCAGGTTCATAAATAAGGAAAGCAGAGGATGTGGAGAAATGAGGGATTGGAATACGTACTTTATGAAGGTGGCACAAGGGAAACGGAAGAGAGGAATAATATATCATATGGGAGGGGAAATAGGAGAAGAGGAGATGGAGTGACAACTAAAGAGGCTCAAAAGATGGAAGAGGACTATCAGGGAAGTGAAAGGGAAGAACAATTGTAACGGTTCACAAAAATCACAACAATGTCTACATCCACAATGAAGCGCACGTTACGTCAATAATTTGGCAACATTCATATTGTCCGCATGCAGGTTGATAACCCAGGCTCATCTCGTAAACGGTAGTAAATTACTTGTTAACCTGGTACCATTTTTATTTTTATCATAATATTGTTGTTTAAATTACGACTCCTTTTCACCCCTTTCTCAGTATATTAATAAATGTGCTGTGACTAATTACGTCCGTGAATTACATAAACTTAATTATCTTTTGTATAAATAAATACCTACGTATTACTTTGCTATAAAACAAAAACAAGGCATTTTTTCTGCGTTTATTCTTAATTAGGACTTTCAGACAAGGCTGACCCACTATACACTGCACATATTCATTCCCGAACCGGGATCCCCTACCTAACTACACCGTGTATGTTTATTTGCCAGACTGCGACTGACTCGTTTACTGTAGGACTACTTTGGTTCCTAAAAAAGGAATTAACGAACACGTCTACAATATTCCCCAACGCGGCAAAATAGCTCCTTGAAATGTTTACGAAGCAACTCAAACTCTGATAGGCTCTAGTATCCGAAATGGTTTCGGGAATTATGAAAGAATCCCACACTGTCCTAGCCACCTTTTTTAGTGAAAAACCGCATGTAGGATGGAAAACTAACACGTTTCTATTTTTTCCAGCATGCTATGCATCCAAGATGAAATGGGTCAACTGAGCATACATCAACCAGGCGAACGGCCTAAAGTATCAATAAGCGTGCCAGAGGCATTATGCAACGACAGCTCGCCGGACACACCCCAACCGGCATTCGCTCTAAAACAGGGATGGATGGAAGGCATCTTCGGATGTCTTAGACCGGTATGGTCGATAATTGGAAAAGCGAACTCCCACGAGATCAAAGGGAATCAAGGTAAGTTGAACGCACTTCACTCAATACAATTATTATAAGACTATGCTTAGACGATTGGGAAATCCCATTCGAGTCCATAACGGATTTGCAATGGTTGGGTTGTGGAGGGCAAGGGATCGTTTTCTCAGGAAAACTAAACAACGAAGCTGTGGCCGTTAAAAAGGTATCGGACGTAAAAGAAACCGATATCAAAAATTTGCGTAAATTGAATCATCCGAATATAATTAAGTTCAAAGGCGTTTGTACGCAATCTCCATGTTATTGTGTTGTAATGGAATTTTGCCCGTACGGACCCCTGTATGACCTATTAAAAAATCAGCAAAAAATGGTTACACCTGCACGGGTCGTCACATGGGCGAAGCAAATTGCGAATGGAATGCAATATCTCCACGCACACAAAATTATACACAGAGATTTAAAAAGTCCAAAGTAAGAAGGCGGTTGATGTATATAGATTTGAACTAATTTTGTTTGTAGTGTACTAATTGGGGATGGTGAACTGATTAAGATAAGCGATTTTGGTACGTCGAGAACTTGGAATGAGGTGAGCACGAAAATGAGTTTCGCCGGTACCGTCGCTTGGATGGCGCCGGAGGCCATCCAGGAACAGGCCTGTTCCGAAAAGATTGATATCTGGTCATTTGGGGTTGTTCTGTGGGAGCTACTGACATGCGAAACACCTTACAAAGACATGGAGCAGAGCTCGATCATGTACATGGTTGGCACGGGTAAATTGCGACCCCCAGTACCGACCACGTGCCCGGAGGGAATCAAGCTGATAATGCAGATGTGTTGGAAGTTCAACCCGAAAGATCGCCCTTCGTTCAAACTAATTTGCAATCATCTAGAAATTGCCTCAGTTGAGGTAATTGTACCTACCTATTTCGGTAGAGGTTGGTGCTAAAATTTCTTTGCAGATGTTGAGTAGTTACAAAGACGAGCAGTTTTTCAAAACCCAAGAGAGCTGGAAGGAGGAAATTAAGACCCAGATCACCTACTTCAAACTGCAGCAGGAGAAGCGAAGACACGAATTTCAAGTCAAGGAAGAACAGCTGATAAAAAAGAGAGAGACTGAATTGAAGCACGTAAGAGACGTTAGGGAGCTTTACGATCGGAAATTAGAAAGAGTAAATCAATTATACTTAGAGTTACACGCGGTGTTGTTGCAAGTTGAGCATCAAAAGCAAGAAACGCGAAAGCGGGAGATGATGCAAAGTAAAAAGAGGCTCATACAACCGTTTATGAAGTTTCAAAAGCGACGGTGTGGTCACAACAGTAGCACCACACCCACCAGTCCGGAGTGTAGTCTCACCAGTCCGGATAGTCCACAAATTGTGAGTCTCCTTTGCTATCGCGCGATGCTAACTTATCCTTTCAGATACCTCCAAAGCCTCCAGTTTATTCAAATTCGAACACGACAAATCGATCTGAGTCCTTACCCGTTGTACATTCCGCATCGTCATCGTTAAAATCACGCAAACGCCATCATCGAACAAACTCGGGATCTCCACGCGCCACCGTATCATCGCGCATGTCCAGCGGTTGGTCGTCAGTTTTGGTCGACTCCGAAACGCAAACCGACTGCATGGAAATGAGCGAGACGGACCTAAGTCCGAGCTGCTACAGCCTAGCCAGTACGATTCAGTCAAGTACAAACCGTCCAAATCAACCGCAACGTGTCATACTCCATGAAGTACAAAAATCGCCAGAAAACGGCAACACCGTACAAATACACTACATGGCCCAACACACACAACCAGGTACTTTTACGTTTCCTGCTATTCGGTCCAGTTAAATTAAACAAAAAATTGTAGAGTTGGAATTTTGTTAAACGCTCATGGCTAAGCGCGGAGATGAGATGGATAGAGGGGCTGTGTTAAGATCACTCCTATCATTTTGACATCCATTCTCATGTGTAAAAAGTTTACATTAAATAAAAGAAGGGATAAAGGGAAATTTATAAGGGCATGCGCAAACCCGGTTTTTGGGGGTAACACCACCTTACGTGTATAAAGTAGGCAGAGAGAAAGAAACTGTCTGACACGGAACATTAAAACTGAGTTCAAAACTCAGTGTATGCATTGAGTTTGTTGATTGTTGTTGCAGTAGGTATATCATTGACATTGAGTAATGAGAGTTTGCTACTTATTGTTGTTTATAATTCATAGCGGGTCAAGGAGTGGAGATACCACTGTCTATACCATAAACCATAATATATGTACTATATATAAGTGCGCGGTACAGACAACGCGAAGAAAAGCGCGTGTGGGAGCAAAAATGCGCTGTACTGGAGTGAAACGGATTTTCCCTAGGGAAATATCATTTCGGGACGGTGCGCGGACAGCGGAGATATTAAACGTGATGCGGTACTACTCTCCGCACGCACCTCTGGTATCTAAAGAGCCCCCCCCCCCCATTACACCCCGCATCGATGTTTCGGACGCCATAACGGAGGGGTGATGGGGGACGTGGAGGGAACGCGAAGGCGCGAGTGACGTTTCGAGGGCATCTTGATCATTGAGGAGATATTTTTAACTTTTTTAAGGTCAAGGGCATCAGGGTACCCGCCCGTGGGGTTCTTGTACACTAGCCAAAACGAGGCAAAAGGAAATATAGTAAACCGGATAGGCGAGACTTGCTCTTTAGTAAATTTCAAAAAAAGAGAATACTTACCGAAAGGGCGAACAAAGTAAACTAAGAGATTCTTGCTCTGGTCTTGAGCTAAAGAAATAAAATAATTGGAACGGTAGAACTGAAATAATAATTGTGGTCACATTCGAGGGTGATTTAATAAATCATCGATATCAACGTTTAAAATTTAGCAAAAAGGGATCAACTCGTAGTCTGGAAATTATCAATATCAAAACAGGTTTCCGCAGAAAACAGCGGAGCTGATTGTTAAATGGCAATTCAAATACATCCAGTAATTACGCGATTGTATCGAAAAACAATGTATACTCAAACGTTTGATCAAGGAGTCGTCGAAAATAAAAATATTACCTTTGAACTCTGGTCGTCACGGCCGTCTGAATTCAGACGAGCGCTTTCCTGCCTTTTCTGTAACACATAACAACACAAACAAACAAATACAAGAGAGATATATAGTGAATAGTGAATACTCAAGAAATTATATCACACTCTTTTCCACTCCAAAATGGAGTATGGACTGGTCTGTTGGGGTGCAGCGTCATACGAATAGTTGCTTTCGCTAACGTGACAACGCGATCATTTCCCCTATTTCAAAAATTCAACATTCTACCAATAAAAAACCTGTTTGTCTTCAAGGTACTGAAAGAATTTTATAAAAGGTCGGAGAGTTTTATATTCAAAAAACGTGATATAGGCACTAGAGGCAACTGTAAAAATAAGCTCTTACTACCTAAAGCTAACTACCACCTTTCAGAAAGCATTTATGTACCTCGGTTCCAAATTACATAACTTCATATTAGACCAAATTCCCATTAACTTAACATCTAAGCAAAGGCAAAAAGAGATAAAATTGTGGCTGTTAAAAGATAAAGAAAATATACACAAAGCTCTATCAATAATTCGATAGCACTTAATGTAATTCCTAACTCACCATTCATTGCGGCTATGTGTTTTAATTAGAAATTTGTATGTAGGTAAACTAGAAAGTTAGCTTTATTTTGAATTATTTAACTTGTTTTATTTTTAATTAAGATGGGGCGCTTATAATTAGAATAAGTGTGCCTTCTCCAAAAATTGTAATTTAAAAATAACATAACTTTGTACATTAATGGGAGAAAATAAAGATTATGATTATGAATAGCGTGGAACATAAATATGGCGGTAGAATGTCTAACGTTTGACACTAACCAGGTAACTCGTATACTAAAACTGTAATTAACACTCCTACGTTAACTAATCAAAAACAACATTTTTATCGACGACGAATCGTCTGTACATATCGGCGATGACAAAACAATCGTGACTTTAAATAACTCAATACGCTAATTATCGTTAACAGACTAATATAAAGGATATGAAATGTAGTTAAGCTAGTACGAATGAATCTTCGGAACAACAAAAACCATGTAGACAAAAGTTAAGTGTCGGAAGGTGTTCTTCTTAACGGCAAAAGTAATGTACGTAGAATCAGAAATATCAAAGCAATTCATAAGAGCAATAATGTTCAAAGGGCTTCGTTAATACATGCAAACTTCAAGAACAATAATTCAGGTGTATCAACTTCAATGTAAGTAGGTCAACATGTTTGGAATTTGGAATTTTCCAATAGAACTTCCTTTATGAATAATGGAAAATCCAAAATTCATGCGGTTTCCATAAAAGNTGCACCAAAATTTCTCGGGAAAACACTTTTTCTTATTAATTTTGGTGCGTAGAATCCAAAACAATTCGTACTTTTTCGATCGGACTTCTCAATCAAATGTTATGGACTAGAAACCAATTTCGAAAGAAAATTCAAAGGGCTGTAACTTTTGAACTAGTAGCCCAATCTTGGAACTGTTTGAAATTGTGTATTCTACAGGCCATATTCTATAAGAAAATCTTTTTTTCCGGTTCCGGCTCTTTGGTAATCTCTTTACTTTTCCAAATTATTTTCTTGTAATAGTTGATCCAGTTCCAATGAGATGTCGCCACGTACGTAACTACATTCACAAGAACATTTTAATTTATGCACTAAATAGCCACTTCCGATTCAATTTCCCTTAAAGGGCAGTTGAAAATGTGCAATTTCATGTAGGATTTGTACAGCAATTGTACTTCAATGATCCAGTAATCCTGGAAAACAAAAACAGGGCGTCGGAAGTGAATAACGGTTGGGGGGGGGGGGGCAAAAATCAGCGACCATGGAGTCTGAAACGTCCCTCCCATGCAAAATTGTGTACAAATTAATGCAAAGCAGTGGGTTTTGTAAGTGACCCTGAAACCTGTTTATTTAATCAATCAAATAATGTATTTTTGAAAGAAAAGTTTTGAAAAAAATTTAAAAAAGTGTCGGAGGATGTCTAGTTATATGCAATTGAGCAACTCAGAGATACTTGACTCGATTGAGAAGACCATACCCATACTCCATACTCCATAGATCATCAATATTTATTTAAAAAATAATGAAGAACTAGAACATACAAAAGTTACAAAAATTTTGTTCCTATTTATTGCACTATTGAGCATTGTAAAGAAAGCAAGTATAAAAAATTAAATATATCCAAAAATTTTCCACCTCTCCGCAGTTTTGCTGGCAAATTCTTTCAACGTATCCTCTACTTCTACACTCTTTGTAATTTCTGCACGCACATGCCGTAGGTAGAAGATGTGTTAGTCGCTTTTGAATGATTTATCTACTCATTCTTAGAGGGCGCGCGGCCCCCCTTGTGTAAAAACTGAGGGGGCGGCTCGCCCCCTCTGACCCGTACTTCCGACGTCGCTGAAAAGCAGGCATTTTTTCTGCGTTTATTCTTAATTAGGACTTTCAGACAAGGCTGACCCACTATACACTGCACATATTCATTCCCGAACCGGGATCCCCTACCTAACTACACCGTGTATGTTTATTTGCCAGACTGCGACTGACTCGTTTACTGTAGGACTACTTTGGTTCCTAAAAAAGGAATTAACGAACACGTCTACAATATTCCCCAACGCGGCAAAATAGCTCCTTGAAATGTTTACGAAGCAACTCAAACTCTGATAGGCTCTAGTATCCGAAATGGTTTCGGGAATTATGAAAGAATCCCACACTGTCCTAGCCACCTTTTTTAGTGAAAAACCGCATGTAGGATGGAAAACTAACACGTTTCTATTTTTTCCAGCATGCTATGCATCCAAGATGAAATGGGTCAACTGAGCATACATCAACCAGGCGAACGGCCTAAAGTATCAATAAGCGTGCCAGAGGCATTATGCAACGACAGCTCGCCGGACACACCCCAACCGGCATTCGCTCTAAAACAGGGATGGATGGAAGGCATCTTCGGATGTCTTAGACCGGTATGGTCGATAATTGGAAAAGCGAACTCCCACGAGATCAAAGGGAATCAAGGTAAGTTGAACGCACTTCACTCAATACAATTATTATAAGACTATGCTTAGACGATTGGGAAATCCCATTCGAGTCCATAACGGATTTGCAATGGTTGGGTTGTGGAGGGCAAGGGATCGTTTTCTCAGGAAAACTAAACAACGAAGCTGTGGCCGTTAAAAAGGTATCGGACGTAAAAGAAACCGATATCAAAAATTTGCGTAAATTGAATCATCCGAATATAATTAAGTTCAAAGGCGTTTGTACGCAATCTCCATGTTATTGTGTTGTAATGGAATTTTGCCCGTACGGACCCCTGTATGACCTATTAAAAAATCAGCAAAAAATGGTTACACCTGCACGGGTCGTCACATGGGCGAAGCAAATTGCGAATGGAATGCAATATCTCCACGCACACAAAATTATACACAGAGATTTAAAAAGTCCAAAGTAAGAAGGCGGTTGATGTATATAGATTTGAACTAATTTTGTTTGTAGTGTACTAATTGGGGATGGTGAACTGATTAAGATAAGCGATTTTGGTACGTCGAGAACTTGGAATGAGGTGAGCACGAAAATGAGTTTCGCCGGTACCGTCGCTTGGATGGCGCCGGAGGCCATCCAGGAACAGGCCTGTTCCGAAAAGATTGATATCTGGTCATTTGGGGTTGTTCTGTGGGAGCTACTGACATGCGAAACACCTTACAAAGACATGGAGCAGAGCTCGATCATGTACATGGTTGGCACGGGTAAATTGCGACCCCCAGTACCGACCACGTGCCCGGAGGGAATCAAGCTGATAATGCAGATGTGTTGGAAGTTCAACCCGAAAGATCGCCCTTCGTTCAAACTAATTTGCAATCATCTAGAAATTGCCTCAGTTGAGGTAATTGTACCTACCTATTTCGGTAGAGGTTGGTGCTAAAATTTCTTTGCAGATGTTGAGTAGTTACAAAGACGAGCAGTTTTTCAAAACCCAAGAGAGCTGGAAGGAGGAAATTAAGACCCAGATCACCTACTTCAAACTGCAGCAGGAGAAGCGAAGACACGAATTTCAAGTCAAGGAAGAACAGCTGATAAAAAAGAGAGAGACTGAATTGAAGCACGTAAGAGACGTTAGGGAGCTTTACGATCGGAAATTAGAAAGAGTAAATCAATTATACTTAGAGTTACACGCGGTGTTGTTGCAAGTTGAGCATCAAAAGCAAGAAACGCGAAAGCGGGAGATGATGCAAAGTAAAAAGAGGCTCATACAACCGTTTATGAAGTTTCAAAAGCGACGGTGTGGTCACAACAGTAGCACCACACCCACCAGTCCGGAGTGTAGTCTCACCAGTCCGGATAGTCCACAAATTGTGAGTCTCCTTTGCTATCGCGCGATGCTAACTTATCCTTTCAGATACCTCCAAAGCCTCCAGTTTATTCAAATTCGAACACGACAAATCGATCTGAGTCCTTACCCGTTGTACATTCCGCATCGTCATCGTTAAAATCACGCAAACGCCATCATCGAACAAACTCGGGATCTCCACGCGCCACCGTATCATCGCGCATGTCCAGCGGTTGGTCGTCAGTTTTGGTCGACTCCGAAACGCAAACCGACTGCATGGAAATGAGCGAGACGGACCTAAGTCCGAGCTGCTACAGCCTAGCCAGTACGATTCAGTCAAGTACAAACCGTCCAAATCAACCGCAACGTGTCATACTCCATGAAGTACAAAAATCGCCAGAAAACGGCAACACCGTACAAATACACTACATGGCCCAACACACACAACCAGGTACTTTTACGTTTCCTGCTATTCGGTCCAGTTAAATTAAACAAAAAATTGTAGAGTTGGAATTTTGTTAAACGCTCATGGCTAAGCGCGGAGATGAGATGGATAGAGGGGCTGTGTTAAGATCACTCCTATCATTTTGACATCCATTCTCATGTGTAAAAAGTTTACATTAAATAAAAGAAGGGATAAAGGGAAATTTATAAGGGCATGCGCAAACCCGGTTTTTGGGGGTAACACCACCTTACGTGTATAAAGTAGGCAGAGAGAAAGAAACTGTCTGACACGGAACATTAAAACTGAGTTCAAAACTCAGTGTATGCATTGAGTTTGTTGATTGTTGTTGCAGTAGGTATATCATTGACATTGAGTAATGAGAGTTTGCTACTTATTGTTGTTTATAATTCATAGCGGGTCAAGGAGTGGAGATACCACTGTCTATACCATAAACCATAATATATGTACTATATATAAGTGCGCGGTACAGACAACGCGAAGAAAAGCGCGTGTGGGAGCAAAAATGCGCTGTACTGGAGTGAAACGGATTTTCCCTAGGGAAATATCATTTCGGGACGGTGCGCGGACAGCGGAGATATTAAACGTGATGCGGTACTACTCTCCGCACGCACCTCTGGTATCTAAAGAGCCCCCCCCCCCCATTACACCCCGCATCGATGTTTCGGACGCCATAACGGAGGGGTGATGGGGGACGTGGAGGGAACGCGAAGGCGCGAGTGACGTTTCGAGGGCATCTTGATCATTGAGGAGATATTTTTAACTTTTTTAAGGTCAAGGGCATCAGGGTACCCGCCCGTGGGGTTCTTGTACACTAGCCAAAACGAGGCAAAAGGAAATATAGTAAACCGGATAGGCGAGACTTGCTCTTTAGTAAATTTCAAAAAAAGAGAATACTTACCGAAAGGGCGAACAAAGTAAACTAAGAGATTCTTGCTCTGGTCTTGAGCTAAAGAAATAAAATAATTGGAACGGTAGAACTGAAATAATAATTGTGGTCACATTCGAGGGTGATTTAATAAATCATCGATATCAACGTTTAAAATTTAGCAAAAAGGGATCAACTCGTAGTCTGGAAATTATCAATATCAAAACAGGTTTCCGCAGAAAACAGCGGAGCTGATTGTTAAATGGCAATTCAAATACATCCAGTAATTACGCGATTGTATCGAAAAACAATGAAAAACAATGTATACTCAAACGTTTGATCAAGGAGTCGTCGAAAATAAAAATATTACCTTTGAACTCTGGTCGTCACGGCCGTCTGAATTCAGACGAGCGCTTTCCTGCCTTTTCTGTAACACATAACAACACAAACAAACAAATACAAGAGAGATATATAGTGAATAGNCTATACGGCAAGTATGAAATTTGGTTAAAACATCAACATAGAAATTTCAGAATTTTTAAAAATATAACCAACTCTCAAGCTCTATATCTTTTTTAATAAACATTTCACAAAAAAGTAGTGTATATCAAAGTTGTGTAGAATTTTATGGTCTACAATTACTGATAATTAGAATATTTTTTCTAAAGTGAACCATTAAAAAGATATGATTGAAAAACTAAGAACCCAACCAAATTTCAGGGGTTTTGGGGGTGGTACGGGGGAAGCACAAGGGGTGGGAGGTCGAAAACTTAGATTCTTAACTACCAGATGACTGTCTATGACATGCAAAATAAACCGGAACTACTTCTCATTTTGCAAGTTGAAACCCTCTATTCCCTGGACTAAAAAAAAATGATTGAAAGACGGGAATTTTGAAATATTGCCGGCCCGTGTGGCGCAGTTCAGTTATAGCTGAACTGTGGTGCTAAGGGGTCCCTGGTTCGAATCCGGGTTCGGGCATGGATATTTGTGTAAGTATAGTGGGTTGGGTTGGTAGAGCAGCTTTGGCTGAAACCCCGCCCACTCAAAAATAAAGGCAAAAAATAAAAATAGGCTTACTCAAGTGCTGAGAAAAATGTCCAACTCTGTAAGGATTTTGTGTGTGTAATTCTGGGCTATACTTGTGTTATTTTTGAACAGATTTAAAATTCGCCAACTTTGTAGAGAGATTCAATTAAACTAATTTTTGCAACAGCCGCCGTCGAAATTTACACGCGACTCGACCCGACGGAGCTGCAAGACCAATCGGACACGGTCAACAGCAACACGCAAACGATGCGCGACAGCGACGACGAAAACTTGGAAACGATAGGAAGGAAGTTGTCTTTCATTAAGGCGAACACAGACAACATATTTTCCGATACTCGAACCTCGGATAATGGTAACATATCGGACGAAATCGAGGAGGTGCTTCGGAAGAAGATATGCTCGGATCGACAGATATTGGACAGCGCCGAGGATGCGCCGAACGATAGTTTGACGGACGAGGACGGTCATTATGATGACTCGTTGCGACGCAGAAGGTAAGTTTGTATTTGCAAAGAATTTTTATTTCGAGTGAATTATTTCTTAGTCTTGTTTGTTCTTATAGTAAACTTGGAAAAGAAGCGCCTTTGAAAATAAGGTAAAGCTTTCGCCTTGAAAGTTGCTTTATTTGTTGGTTGTTTTATTAGAGGTTGTTTTGTTTGATTAATAAAACAGATTTTTTTTGTACTCTTACGGCTTGTTTTATTTTGCTAGCTATAAGATTAAAAATTTTGGCCGCAAGCTAAAGTATGTTTTTTAGGACCAAACTATTGAAAAATGCGAAAACATGGGAAAAGTACAGTTGTACTGTAAATAAGCTTGAGACTACAAATAATTATTATATTAGTATTAAATATTTAAAAAAAATAAATAAATAAAAAACAAAAAAAAATCTCAATCTCAATCTTATTTACATATCATAAAACTCAAAACATGGAGATACTCCGTCAACAAAGTTACTTACTTTTTTTTTTAGAAACGATACGGTATATAATATATTGCTATATGCAATGACAAACGGTCACTCAAACCACCCACCTGTTTACTTAGCTCAATTAAATGCAGGTATTAACAAAAGAAATAATTACAATTTTCCTGATGTAGTTCTGGGTTCAAAATAGAAAAACCAACAATTTACATATGGACAATTTTATCCAACATAACACAATCAAATAAGCTGAACGAAAAAAGGTTACTAAGGGCCAGAATAACACATACCACGTAACAAGCGATCGATAGAACAATGATTAAAGAAATCTTAATTACTTTAAAGTGTCAATAATTCAAAATCTCTGGTCGGCACTGCGATTTACAATAAATGACGCACAAGATACAAAACAACCAGTGATAAACTTTACTGCTCGACTGACTGACTTCTTGTAATTACAATTATAGCATTGGCTCTTTGATGGACACAAAACTTCCTTTAAGGGGTATTGGAAAACTTATTCGTAAACGTAAAACACGCTTCCGCTCAACTCGATTTAAAATTCACTTTTCTCTGTGTAACTTAACTCCAATAGACAAAACTCAACAAAGCTTTGTAACTGGCAGAACTGACCATCCTACAAAAAGCTTTGCCCATCAAAAAAAGCCATAATTAACTTCCTCCTCTTCTATTTAAAACAATTTCCGTTTCTCGCTCCTGTTCCACCTTCCTTAACAAAATACTACATCTTCGAAAGAATTAACATCTGCTTACTTCTGCGATAAACACGTGCTTATCTTGAAACTAATTAACTTACGCAGCGATAAGGACCGGAGATAACTTTTACAATAACAATTTAATCTGTCAACACGTAAATCAAAATTTACAATAAAATAAACAAAATGCACAAAGCGATTATTTAAACAAAATTAACAAAATTAAATAATTCCGATATAACATAAAATTGACTTCGAATTCAAATCATATGATTTGATCGGATACAGGGTGACTCAACATTACTGTAGGTGCTGATGAAATCAAACAAAACGTAAAACATACATTTTCATTATACTATACGCAATATAATAACACAAAGACATACAAAAATAAAATAAACATTTCTACAAAAAAAGCAAATAAACTAAAGGCCAAGAGGGCCTTATTGAATCATTTTCCGTTTAGATTTATTTTTACGTAAACGCACAACCGTGTACACTTTCTTCTGGTTCCGATTCCAAGATAATTGACATAGTTGAAAATGGCAGCTCACAAACTTTAACATTGACGAAAAACTTTTCTCCTATGACTTGTAACTGCACGCGTGCTCGCTTACTGTGTACAGCAATCAGAAAACTACGTTTAACTGACAAGTGACCAAAACTTCAAAACATCGGTCGACTGCCGGAAAAATTGTATGAAAATTTACGCGCAACGGACTGTTACGTACTACGCTAAATCAGCTAACCCAAAACCGCCTCGTTAGATCGGTGCGCCAACTTTTTAATTGGTCACTACGTCTATCACGTTTGTTAACTTCGGTGGAGGTCGACGAAAAGCGAGCACTTGGTTACACTGCATTTCGTTATCTCTAAACATCACACCTATGCCATCGCTTAATCATTCAATTAAATGTTAATTTGATAAAGTCCCCTTATCAAGCATCTGATTTTCCTAAAGACACAATACATTCTTTACCCACGTGTTGCTTAAAATTACACAAAATAAACAATGACAACCTTCTGAATATTTGCATCATGTTTACAGCATAAGTACAACTACGGATAAAATTTAATAAAACTGAACAAGTATGAGCCTCTATTCATAAATTTTCCACCAAATTTCCGATTTACTTTTAATACCAGATCCATATTTAAAACCAACAATACTAAGAAAACCAATTGGCATTTAACTAATAGAATTGTGCACCTTAAAAACAGAGTCCTGTCCAACCTTCCCTATGTGGCCTGCGCTGCAATATTTCTTTTGTATTTTTTAACTTTTCTTCCTTTGGCGCATAGCAGAACTATTCTACTGGAAATACAGTAAACAAACTTGAAAGATGCGAGTGTTAATAATTTATATCTTCTTTCTAGTTTGGCCCGAAGGCCCATATATCCAGGTCGACGAACAAACAGGTACAAGTATTCACTAAATCATCTCCAAAGGGAGATAATCGCATCAGACGAGGGCAACACATCCGAATACTCGAATCCGCCGTCGAGCAAAAGTTCGACGCTCGAGTCGAATCCCGACAGAACGACGCGCATAATATCGTGCGTGTCGGGAAAACGGGCGAACGACCACTCCGACGGCTCTTCCGACAGCGAGTCCGAGGAGAATCTGACGATAGCAACCGAGGTCTGTTATGACATGAACAAAATAGAGAGCGTAGTCTGATTAAGTTTAAGTTCTTATTGTGATTACAACTAAGTAAGCGATCCTTTTTTAGTGTAATAGCGCGACTTATTTATCGAGATTGAATGAAAAGTAGTCGAAGTTTGTAGTTTTTGTGAGTGACGTGCAATAACTAGCAAACTTTAAATCTTTTAATCCTTATTTTTTATATGTGCGGTTGTGTTTTTATAAAGTATTTTAAACTTGAGTATTTGAAGTTGCTAGTGAATTTTTGATATTATCTACCTTTTAATTTTAAGTGTTTTACATTCCTTCTTTAGTGAGTAAGTCCAGTTATCTACACATTTTTATATTTTGGCAACTCTACAGCAGCTATTTATGTACAATACAATTACACATGTTCCCAGATGGCGTACTTACTCTGCATAGAGCATAGTCCCTATACTAGGGACCATAATGCACTCACTCAAAGTTTTTGATGTACTGCTACTTACGTTAGGTTTTAGTATAGCGACTTGTCTTGTACATTAAGTAACAGAACATTGAATATTTTAATAACTGCGCAATTTTGAATTGCAAAAATTGACAGAGGCAACAACTCAATTAGCAACTTTGAGAAGTCCAATGTAATTTTCATGCCAAATCAGCTTCTAAATCTGAATACTTCTAGGTGCCTATAAATAAATTATTTTTTTGTCTCCGAGTATATTTTTATTGAAAAAAAATTATAATTGCAGCGTTAAATTAGACGTATATACAATTTATGAAATATTCTCATTGTGCTGTTGAAAACAAAGTACATTAGATGTAAACGAATAATTGTCATTCAATAAAAAGTTATTGTACTTAGCCGATGTGCTGTCCTATGTGGCCTAGAAATTGTAATAGAGCTCCATTCATGCCGAGGAGTTCGCGGCAAATGGCACATTCTGTAATAATCATTCCAAACTCTTAGATGACAACTCGGTAATTTTGCCATTGTGTATTTTCGCATTTATGACAAATTAAGAGTTTTAATTTTTATTATGGAACTGCTGTAATAGTTTTACATGCTAAATAAAATGAAATTTAAAATGACGTCTCTTCATTAACCATTTCTGCTAAATCATTTTTCAGTTTCATTTCCTGAGAAGACGAGCGAGCTCTATTAATGTACCATTGAAAATCGATATTAAGAAAACGTGCATGAGTTAAAGCAAACCACAATACAAGTAAGTGATATCTGCAGTCATAGTTCCGTTTATTGACATTTTCGAAACCATTCTGTAATAATCCTAGGCTGGCACTGCAATCTTGACTTAGGTACCCTATACTTACAGTTGACAACTCTGCGAAAATAAACTACAAGTAAAGCCGTCTAACTATCGAAACGACGGACGTTTCGCAGCACTTTCGAATCTCGATAACAGTCTGCTTCGATTGAGTAGTATGAATAGAACTACATTGTGTATAGAATGACAGTTCTTTTAATGTGTTGGGGTGTGACCCAAAATTAGGAAGGGCATTCAATAAAACTAATAGTTTGGTTCGTAAAAAATGAACTTATAAAATATATTACGCACACGAACGGCGATAACGGGAAAACCTTTTGTGGACACAAAACCTGGCATAACCCACACAAAATAAATCGACGACAGCAAAATACAAAAGAGAAAAATATACAATGCGACGAACTTCGAGAGCAAGTCCGCGCACAAACGGCATGAAAAATTAAATAAGCATTAGCAGAATAAATGATTGTAATTTAATTTACAAGAAAAAATTTAATTTTCACTAAATCAAGTGAGCAGATGAAAGTAGCGGCAGTCGGCGGCAACCTGGGTGCTCCATCGGTGGAACGGAGGGACTCGAGCGACACCCAGGATGCCAAGGTCCCTGAAGCCTCGGGCAAGATCAAACGGCAGCTCCGAGAATTCTAAAGGGCAAGCGGCGGCCGGCTACTTGTGAATTCTAAAACAAAATTAAAGCGCACAGCATTTTCCCTAAGCGGGAACAGAAAATAACCGGATTCAGTAGCGGTATCTACGGGAAAGCAAATGCAGGAACGCGAAACAATATCCCCCCCTATAACTAATGAAAGTAACAAAAAGTAACCTTGCGATTAAAGGGAGCGGTAGAAATTACTGAGCAAAAAAAAAAGAATTTCCTATAGATATGGTGCGGTAAACTTATGGGGAATGTATAAATTAAACGGTATGAATTCAAAAATATGAATTTACGCAAAAGTTAAAAATTACGGTATCTACTTACAAAAGTGCAAAAGGCAGAAAGATCATTTGCTTTGTTTGGACGGTATGGTTTCGCAAAAATTAGCTCGATCAATACTTACGGCAAGCAAAATGGACCCCCTAAACAACGGTTCTTAATTTTATAAAATTCGGCGATTTGGTGTTTTTGTGTATGAGTGGTTCAACTGTCTCCATGGAGTAGGTACCTAATACAATCCGATTCTTCGCTGTATCTGTTGCCTGCTCGTACAGTGCGGATCGCAGCTCTTGGCATCTTAGCAATTCGAGAATGAAGGGGTCCTCTAATTAACATTTCCTCTACTTAAAATATGTTTTACTTGAGCGATAATGGACTCACATGAATACTTGCTATTGACATTCTCACATGTACTAGACTGCGGAGTACCTATCGAGCCCGCCATTTTATGTTTTCTTATGTACATGCAATTTATCATTTTACGAGTTGTATATGTGTTTTTGTACCAAATTGATTTACCATGTTTTCCACTTGCATTTATGATGTCTTGTGTGTTTTATTTTTATGGATTTGTTTAACTTCATTTGATTCGATTACCTCATTTTTATCATACAATTTGAGATATTGTATTTGTGTATTTTCTCTTGCAGGATCTTTTTTTCATGACTTTTCGGTTTGGAGTTGCTCCGCGGAACCAAGCTTCGCGCGTAATAAATTTCATTTTCTTATTCCCTTCGGTCCCACAACATTCTGTCTTTTATTTAATTCTTCTCTCGACAATATCTCACGTCCGAACCCATAAAAGAACCAATTACATAATATATGAGTTCATTCGTACCAGTGTCGGCTTGGGGAACCCCTAGGATCATTACAAGTTATCATTCTGTAAAGAAAACCAGAAAATTCAATAATTTCCATATGGAAAAACAATACACGTAAATCCCTATGTCTACAACTTAATGAATAGCACTGCATTACCTATACAATATGTTGATATGTAAAAAATGAATATTAATTTGGATTATCCGTGCTTCCGGTCCCGTGGAGCCCGGATAATCGGGGTTCTACTGTACATCTCTGTTTGTATGAAAGGAAAGAATAAATAAATTGCAAAATTTACTATTTTTACACTTATGCTTCTATACTAAAACACTGATCCCAAGCTTTCGCATTCACTTCCTTCAGCATGGTTTTCAACGAAGTCCCTGGACCACATTCGAATGTACGTGGAAAATGTTCCTCAGGATCACGTTCGTAAACCGTATGCAACAATTGTTCCCACTTTATGGGCCTAACAATCTAAAACAGCAAGTGTTAATTGCCACAATCCATTACTTTCGTTAGAGCGTTTACTTGTTTTGGGAGCTGCTTTTTAATATGTTTCGCGTCTCTGTAGACTTTACCATCCACGTTAGAATAAACACTAATGACCGGATCAGATATGTCCGATGTCTCGAGAGCTCGCGCAAACGGTTTGATCGCCGGATCCATCAGAGCGGTATGGAACGCCCCACTCACTTGTAACCGTCTGATCCTTTTCAGTTTGAGCTCTTTGTAATTTTTTTCTAAAAATTCTATTGCCTACAAATAAATGTAAATATTAATCCATCGTATTTGAACATTGAGATTATTTATTTGTAAGTGAAATTCAGGAAATTTAAATTAAGCAATACCAGCTGCAGGGGCGCCGGAGGAAAATTCGCTAGGGAGGGGCCCTTGCATTTTTGGAATAAAAATGTTACCTAACTATTTTTAAATTAGTAAATAGGTACATATTAGACACAACACAAAACAAGAACAGAAGTAACAAGTTACAGTAGTTTACTAAGAAAAAAATGAAATTAATAGCAGTATATTATAAAACACCGGCGCATGCGCTTTCTACCCTGCTTTTAGGTGTAACAATATGAGTACCAAATTTGGTTCCAATCGGTTTACCCGTTAATGAGAGTTTAACACACATGCGCATGCGCTATTCTCCCCGAAAGCTTTTCAGCTCTTCCTTTTATACCTAAAGAATATGTGTTCCAAATTTGGTTACAATAACAGTATACTACAGACCGACATCATCAAAATTTTGTTGGATTCGGAGTCCTGGTGCTTCAAAAGGTGTATTTCCGTAAAAAAGTGGGGGGGGGGCATTTTTTACCCCAATGCAATACCTCCCTTACTAACCTGCGGGTGATAAAAATTACAGTGTGTAAGGCAAATTCAAGGGCAAATTGTAACATTAAACCGTTTCTGCATAATTTTTCTACTCAAAACTATAACAAATTACCAACCATAATGTTATTGATTACAATGTTGAATGTAGAGTAGGATAAAACAATTTAATTATTTCGAAAGAATTCCTCTTACGTGATGGTTTTGTACGTCTGCCTGTCCGTCTGTTCCTCGTCTAATTCGAGAACGAAAAGACACAGCGATGTCAAACCTTCGCCAATCCATTTCTACGAGTTCAAGGATCAGTGCTATTGAATATGAGCCGGATTAAAAGTCTGATTTCCCAATACCAGCTGAGTAACAAAAAATTCCCCTACTGAATCGTATGCGATTCTTCGTATATTCACCATTTTATGTGCATCTATTCCATAACAAGTTAAAAACGTGGTCACTCGCGACCCACGGAAGCGCATTTTCGCCGCATAGAATCAGTAATAGCTCGGGAAGGAAGGGATTTGCGGACAATAGCGTTCATTTTACTTTTGGAAAATGCGCTAAAAAGCGCCGAACCGAAATAGTGACATGGCAGTAAGGCCGTATTCTGTGATGACAGTATCGTCATTGATGTTTTTCCAAAACAAACAGCCACCCTGCGGTCTTCGGTTAATTTAATCTCTATAGTCTATACAATATAGCAACTTTATGGACATTAAGGTAACTCAATAAGGTTCTGGTTTTATTGCGAGCTTTCAACATTTTCTAAAATGGATTAAGTGATTTCTCAAATCCCAGGGAGGGGCCCGGGCCCCTCCTTGCCCTTTAGTAGCGGCGCCCATGACCAGCTGAGATGAAGTTATAAGCTCTATGGCACCCATAGCAAAGAGTACCCTTTGCCGAGCTCTTTGCCCATAGTTACAACAATTGTTGCCATGAACTTGCTTCCTAATATTATTGTAGCACTGGGAGCTCATCCCAGAACAGAATTTCACTTCTGACCCCGCTCCCGGGAGTTGGCCCCTTCGCTCCAAACTCTTGGAATTTTTAGTTTTCACTCACTAATAGTCCCCATGCCAAGTTTTACTATACTCTTTGGTTTTACTAAATTCGTATACTTACCTACTTTCCACGAGCTTCGGTTTCAGACACACCGACAGATTATGTAGGTAAAAATTGGGCCTAGACTATTACAGACGTATCTCACACAAAGAGATAAAAAAATCCTGACAGGATTTTTGATTTAGAGAGGAGTGCACACGGTACATAGGGCTCATATTATTTAGACCAGGGTTTCTCAAACTTAATTGTTCCACGTACCCCTATTAGACTGTCAAGCCCATGGCGAACCCCTTTAAAAAATACAGACTACAGATAGGCATTTTATTTAAAAAATCATGTCTTAAATTTGGTAAAACAAATAAGGTATTTTCTTAAAAAAAAACAAAAGAACTATTTTTAATAAAAAATAAAATAATTTAAAAAATAACATAAGTAGCTACTAAAAGGTTTATTTTTTTTTCGGCCTTAAGTGGTGTTGAAGTGAAGGTTTGTAGGGTGAGTAGGTTCAAAAAAATTTGAGTCTACTCACCCTACAAACCTTCACTTCAACACCACCTAAGGCCCAAAAAAAAATAAACCTTTTAGTAGCTACTTATGTTATGCTACCTTATACCTACTGAAATTAATGTGGTGGGTGGGCTTGTTTTTTTTCGCAAATGGAGTCGATTCTCGGAGCAATTCTGCGTTCAGTCGATTCCTATATATTGCGTCTTTAACATGACCAGGTGTGAAAACCCACTCTCACATAAATAAGTGCGACTTTGCTAGTGCGTCGTCACGCTTGTTGTAAGCTGCCACCATTACGTAAATTTTTTCGCGTACCCCCTATCATTCAATGACGTACCCCCAGTGGTACGCGTACCCCACTTTGAGAAACGCTGATTTAGACCCATTCTACTCCCTCTGTAACTGGAGTGGGTCATCCCTCAAATAGTCACCAAAATCAACCCTCACTGAGATCAAGCTTGAGTATGCTGGATAGGAATATTTAACCAAACATGGTTCTATAATTACGGCAGAGCGGCTTATCGCGCGGCAACCTTCTCAGAAAGCCCCGTTTGCCTTATTCGCTTGACGGACTGACAAAAGCCCCACCACTTTTTTTCTAAACTCTGTCAAACCGCAAATCCCGCCCCTTTTATCTAAAACTCGCCCAAAAACGTAAGTTCCACCAATTGTATATACATACAATGGTTCCACCCTCGTTTTTTTAAAATCCCCTCCAAAAAACACCAAACCGTACCAGGTACCACCTTTCCTTAACCCCTTCCACCCCCTCCACCCCGTTAAACCCACAATCTTTTTACTTTACCTCGCCTAAAAATCGTTAAACCTTTATAGTTTATGCTAAAAAAATACCCTGTTTCTTCATTCCTGACTCACTTTTCTTTAATCTCCGCTCAAAAATCGGTAACGCTCCCCCCCCCCCCCCCCCCCTCAAAAATCGCGAAGTTCGCTCATCTCTTTTCCTTAAGCCGCGCTCAAACATTTCTGAAAACTCCGAAATCTTTTTCCTGCGACGTGCACAACAATAACCATACTCCCCGCCCCTGCTCATTTATCTATATGCCCCATCTAAAAATCGCCTCGTTCACCATGCCCCGCTCACTTCTCTCTAAGTCCACGTCGGTTCCGCGTCATTTATTTAAGCCCCGTCCAAAATCGGTACACTCTCCTCCTCCTCCTGTTTCTTTATTCTCCACCCGCTTTTTTCTACATACATCCCACTCAAAAATCGCCCATTATATCTAGGCCCCATGCCTTATTCGCACTGTTTCTTTAGTGCTCGTCCAGTTTTCTTCTCTAATCCTCACCACAAAATTCCCAACCCGCCATTTGTTAAGCCCCCCCCCCCCCACCGAGCGCAAAATGCGGTAAACCCCCACCGGCCCCACCTTTTTTTTTCTAAAACCCAATCTAATCAGTAATTACCCTTTTTCATAAACTCCGACCACCCCCCACCCCCCCATTTTCTCTAAGCCCTGCCAACAAATTGCTAAGCCCGCCTCTGTTCTGCCTCTTTTATTCAAGTCCCGGTTAAAAATCATTAAGTTCGACGCAAACTGGGTAAACCCCGCCCATTTTTCTCTAATCCCTACCCACTTTCCTTTAATCTCGCTAAAAACTCGGCAAGCACCCTCCCCTCTTGTATGTCGCGTCCAAAAATCGCTAAACCCCATCATCTTTTCTCTAAGACCCGCACAAAAACTGCCATCCCACAGTCTAATCGCTAATCCCCTACGCATTTCTTTTGACTCCGACTATGTGTCTCAGTGTGGTAGAGCATTGGGCTACATATCCGAAAGGTCAGGTGTTCAAACCTTGGCTGAGGTAAGAATTTTTCATCTGTGGCAGAGGTGGGAATTTCCTTAGAACAGTTTCGAGCATTCTGCCGGCTACTCCGAATTAGGTTTTCCTGCAGTTTTGGTATTTCGTAAGGAAAATACCGGGGTAGTACAATTCAAGACCTTCTGCAGGGGCACCTCTAAAAAAAGAATTATGCGGGTCACTCTGTAATTGGGCATAAGCCTGTTGAGGTCCCATAACTAGAGTGGGACAACTCCGACCAAAAATCTCGTCGTTCTCGTTTATCTAGACTCCATCAAAAAATCGCCTTCTTCGCCCCCACCTTTCTCTAAGTCCCGTCCAAAAATCGCTAAACACCGTGCAAACGAGGTAAACGTCGCCCAGATTCCCCTAACCCCGCTAAAAACCGCGTCCAAAACTCGCATAGTTGGCTCAATCTAGTGCCCAAAAAAGCTAGACCCACTAGCAGAACATATTTAGTAACTGGTCGGAAAAAACATCATCAGCGACATCAGCACGTCGGATCATTTTAAAAGTTAGAAAGAACTTGAACTTAAGCATTTCTTTGTGCATCCATACACACGTAGCCAAATTTTGCGCACAATAGATAGAATTTAAAAAATGTGAGTCGTTTTGGGTTGCGGACCCAGAGTGTCAACTTAAACGGGACTATAACCTTCTAATAGATCTTGCAAGCCCCTCTCAAAACTCAAACCCCTCCTCAAAATCACTACATGCGCCCTTTTTTGCAGAGTTCCATCCCCAAAAAATCGCTAGGCCTGTCTATGATTCTATGCCTAAATATAGGTAATCTCCGCCTCTTTTCCCTAAGCTCCTCCCAAAAATACCTTAAATCCGCTAGAAGAAAATATTGAGTATACCCAATAAGGAATCAAAAGTATTTTTTTTATAGGAACTAACCCTGATCATCTTAAAATGGAATTTGAACAATAAAGCACAACATTTATTTACCACAGCGCAAAACGGCGCGAAACAGTGCAAAATTTGAATCTGCCCAAGCGTTTGGCTTTTCGGACAAACGAGTACCATCAACGACCCTTTCCTCTGCCACTTAATAAACAAACTTAGTTCATTACTAAAAAGTTTTTCTTATAAATCGCGAATTGAGGGCTGTTGCAAAGTTTTCTACAATTCGGCGCAAACTTTACTATATTTTATTGTTTTATTTATTTTAGTTTAGTGCTTGCAGAAATCAAAGCGCAAATTATGCGCCAATAGAAAAAGAATGTCGATTTTGTTTCTGCGCAAGCGCGTCTCGACTAAATTTTGTCAACACTGTCAACTTTGACTTATGTCCTTTTGATAAAAATAATGGAACATACTCTTTAGCAAATTGTCGAGGGCTTCTGATGATGCTTTTGATATGCAAAATATTGTTCCAAGAGCGCAAACCGGCGCATAATTTGAACACTATTTCATACAAACGGCACATGACAGTGCCTTAATTATTGTCTGGTCATTATATTTACCTCTATACTCCCTGCTACTATCTTACAATGTGGAAAAGCGTAAGTGGCTATCTGACAGACAGGTTGTTCAGCACCCCTTGCCAAGGCCCAATCCTTTGCTTGCGTTAAGGCATTATTTAAATTTGTATCTGGTTTATAAAAGACCATGGCCATTCCACCTTGATACACCTCACTGGCCAACTGCATAGCCTCGGCCCGTATTTTTACCAGCTGTAAACCTGCACAGCAAAATAGTCAACGCAATATACACAGCATCTACCACCTACCCCTTTCGAAACCTATGGCACCTGCAAAAATCAATGCAGTTATCTCCCCTAAACTGTATCCGGCAGTAGCCACACAGTTATCGATAGCGCTCGGTCGTTCCTCCTTTAACCTTTCAATTGCTGCAAGCGACGTCACCACAGTCGCCGGTTGACAGTACCGCGTCTGATCCAGCTTCTGTTTCGGACCCTCAATGCACAACTTTAATAAATTGTACCCTAAGACATAGTTGGCTAACTCGAATAAGTCCCGAACGATCGGGAACTTCAGGAGGTCCTTTCCCATTCCCACGAACTGATTGCCCTGTCCCGGAAATAAAATTATACTGGCATCCTTCGGATCGCGTTTAGCTTTCTTGTAGTACTCTCCCTGTTTGCGTATCTTCGTCCCTTCCAGGTAAGGTAAGGTGGCCCACTGCTGCTGTGCTTTGTTCACCTGTACATCATCAAACGATGCGGCATCATCTAACATCGCCTTAAGGGGCGATTCCTTTTTTGGGTCGTCGTTGTAACGACAAGCGCTTGTGTGTAGGGCCCTAATTCGTAGACACCGCCGCAGACGACTTGCGAGCATTTTGGATTTGAATTTGAATTTCCCGCCTATAATTTGCAAGGTGTGTAAAATAAGGTACCACGTACCACCCAAAATTTGTTTTGTTTGCGAGTATTACATAATTGGAAGCTGTAACGAATTTATTTAATGTGATTGGGGCGTCTACAACTATTTGTAAGTCATTACCGTTAAATTAACATGAAAAGAATGCGGGATGCACGCGCAATCTTCTTTATTTTCGGTGCAAGTTTAAGGTTATGTCGAACCGATCAGCTGTCAATTTCACGTGTAAATTTAAAATGTAGTAATCGCTTCAAGGTGAAAAAATGTATAAATCGAATCCCATTGTAGTTGTACATAATTTTGCAAGTTCAATTCGCAATCTATTCTTCCTAATTGAGATGTTTAAAGATTAAAATTTATTTTTACATAGAAATGTAGTTTCCCTTATATCAATAGATGGCATGGCAGTAACTCGGTGGCAAATATGAATGTGAACCATACATCTGAAGAAGATGAGGAAGAGGAAGAAGACGATTTGTTCTATTTTGAATCCGATCATTTGGCTTTGAAGGGAAATTCCGATTATAGTGAAGTGCTAAAGACGATTTTTATACTCGATTCGCAACGAGCCAAAGCAATTCAAGTATATCGTCCTGCTTTTTTTTAATATTTCATAGGCAACTTTTTTAGGATTACGATAAAGTCGTAGAATTGCAGAAGGAAGCTCTCAAAGATCCATTTGCTTTCATACAGAAATTGAAGGATGGCAAAGATTTGGGAATACCAGATTTGCAAATAATCGCCGATGTTCCCAACATACAGTGGTCAAAATTTAAAGTGAACCTACCAGAGGCGGGATTACAGTTTGTTAATGAACAAAGCAGTTCCTCGTCCAACGGTATAAGTTTAATTAAGACAGAAAAACGATTACGTGATCAAGCTGATACGTTCAATAAAGTAAGTATCTCAAACTGTGGCTTGCATGTTGACATGTTGTTTTAGCCATGGACAACAGAGGAACAAAGGCGATTAGAGGAGCTGTTGATTGTGTATCCTCCAGAGGCGATTGAATTTAGGAGGTTTAAGAAAATAGCTGCTGCATTAGGTAACCCCATCAAAGGAGCCCTCTCTTCATGAAATTTTTATCTGAGAGAGAGATGGCGCTGTTTCTTTGTCTGTTTAAAAGTCAATAAATACAGGGTGAACATTTTGTCTGGAACACTGAACATATCTTATTCAAAAAATAATTATTTCTATCAACCGTATTAGTTTTCAATTTTTTTCATATAAAGACGGAAAATTGGAAAAATAAAACCCACATCTTTTTCAATAATCTGCGATGCCATGGAATTTTCTAAAACAAAAAGATATCCAGTTATCAATTAGCAGCAGTTCGAAATGGAAATGGATTTTATAATCGACTTGGTTACTGTCTTGCAGTTAATGGTGACTTATTCGAACATTTATTGTAAATTGTTATATTAGGAAACCGTTTTTAGTAATTTGGTCTTTCTTTATGTTGAATTCTCTGTTCTAAATATAATACTTTTTGATAGAATTTGATTTGTTTCATAGCAGACATTCCATGGCATGACGGATATTGGCGTAGTTTTTTTATTATAAAATTCCATGGCATCACAGATTATTGAAAAAGATGGGGGTTTATTTTTCCAATTTTCCGTCTTTATTATGAAAAACATTGAAAACCAATACGTTGATTGACGTAAAAAATTTTTCTACAAAAACCTTAATACATTTTTGCTCTAAAATAATTTGAGGAGTCAATAATCGCATGTTATGAATTTTACATTGAAATCGCCTATGATGCGTTTACTCATGTCACCACCCTGTATATAGTCGCTTATGCCGAAAATTGGGACTACAGATAAACTCAAGTTCCAAGTTTTTTCGTCACTCCCAAGCAGTTACAAAATTTGCCTTTTTCCCAGCAACACATAGCAAAATGGAGGAATTTTTTACGAATGGCCTTTCTGATTTTTGAAAAAGTGTTAACAGGATGCGACCCCAAGTCCAGTCCATATCTAACTGAGGTGCGGAGAAAAAGTTCCGGACTCCACGAAATTTGGCCGCCGACGCCATCTTTCAACATGCAAATGAACAAACAAAATTAGGCTTTATTAAAACTAAAAAAATTGGTTTGGTTTTTCCGATTTACGTGAGGTGAGCATCTTATATTCTTAGTTTATTTCGAAAACAACAGACCTTACAGTTGGAAGCAATATGGAAAAAATGCGAAAAACGCTCTGTACACAGTGATCGTGCTGAGTCTTTGATTTGACCGTGCTGCACAAATGCTGAGAATTGGGATTTTGATTTTTATTGGTACTAAACAGAAGAAAAGTTAATTAGAGGGCCTTCTTCTCGAATTATATAATTAATAATTTATTTAATTCCGCGATAACAACGTCCTTATCGCATCCGAGCAGATAACACTTAAATGCACTTGACCAGATGTTCTTAATTTTAAATAACGCAAATATTATCATCTTACAATTAAATAAACAAACTTACACGAATGGCAAATTAAGAGATATTAAATATTCTGACAGTGCAATTTATTATATTCCAGGTAATCGCACAGTAAAACAGGTATCGAGTAGAATACAAAAGTACTTTCTGAAACTGTACAAAGCCGGGCTACCGGTACCTGGACGCATTCCAAAGTATGCCGAAAGAGTCAAGGTAAGAAACTATTTAAAAAAATTAACAAAATACATTCACATGGTTCGTTCAGAAGTCGAAGTTGCACAATCATCAGCGGTACAACCACTTCCTGTTCAAACCGTCCACGTTCTTTCCTCAGCTGGACATACCCGTCGTAATGAACGAGAGCGAGCCGATTCCCGGGCCAAGTACGAACAGCTCCAGTCACAGCAGTTTACTAAATTACCTTCTTCCTGAATCCACGGTGCCTGGGCAAACGTTTGACAACCGTCTCAAAAGTGACCTTGACATTAAATTAAGTATTCTACGTAAAGTTAAACAGGAAAAATTGAAAGAGAACTCTTTCGCATCAAACTACCAACACTTTGACTATAAGGTAGGTGGCGCCACATGTAAATGTGTTTCTCACTTGTTTGTTGTAGTGTGATTATTGCGACGAGGAGCCCATCACCGGCGTACGATGGCACTGTAAGTCGTGTGTAAGTGATTCTATCGACTTTTGTAGTGATTGTGTCATCGCGCAAATGTACTCTGAAAATCCGCATCCGCCATCTCACGAACTGACGTCGGTGAAATATGATAATACGGAAAGTGGGGGCCAGAGTGACAATTCCTCAAGTGAATCCATATCAGGCAGTGCCTTTGATAGTTCTAATAGAAATTTTGAAAGTAACTATAATAGTAGTTTAAGTGAAAGTGAGATAGAAGAAATGAGGAAGACTCAGGATCCGCTGACGCGATTAGAGGGCGCCACTCAGGAGATTAAGCGTGAGGAACTCGGACTTGACGATATGGAGGTGGAGGAAAATAGTTTACATATCAAAGATATCTTTGATGAAAACTACACTAAGCATGAAGGATTCAAAAGTCGGACAACAGAGGAAGAATTGGAAAGTTACCCGTATAGAAATGTCGAAAATTGATCATATTAGTACTTAAGTATTTATGTTTTTATTGTAGGTTTTTTATTAATGTTCATGTTAGAGATGCCCAAGGACTGTTGTGGTTGATGAACATTTAACTCATCGGCACACATTTTCCAGACTATTTTTGTTATTGTTTTGTTTACATTTTAAAACTAATCTTTCACAAACATACAGTTTTTATTAATGGTACTTCTTTTTGGAAACCATGAGTATCGCAATTAGACTGATATAATACTAAATGCTAATATATTAAAAACAAATGCTTTTCAAATTAACTTTGTTGTGATTTGCACTGAAACACACTTTTCTTTTAAATAAAATACACTCTGTCCAAGATGTCTACATGGTGATCTTTGACACCATAGAACATAGGACGATGGTCAAATTAGAAAAAATATGTGCAATTAAAGAGTTATTATCTTATAACATCATAAACCAGAAAATTCCGATTACTTCTAAAAGATATTCCAGAGAACCTGATTTGCTTTCGATTTTATTTTTTTCGGATGTTATTTGAAGAGATCAAGGACGTTAAAAACACCTGGATGTGGCATTCTCTATTTTTAAGGTCCTTGGAAGAGATAAAAAAACACTTTCTCATTGCCACTTTTTCAGCTCTACAAGACAGCATTGAGGGATTTTCAATACGCTTCGTTTTGGAGAAATCATCATCAATTTCATATTTTTGTATTGTCGGTAAAAAAATACACACTATATTGGGCAAGTAGCATTTTTTATTACGAATACAACGATATATATGTATGGCACACATTTCTTTTTGTTCTTATTTTTGAGTGGGCGGGGTTTCAGCCAAGGTTGCTCTACCAACCCAACCCACTACACATTTACAAATATCAATGCCCGAACCCGGATTCGAACCAGGGACCCTTAGCACCACCGTCCAGCATCAACTGAACTGCGCCACACGGGTCGACCGCAAAAAACAAAAGTTGAAAACTTGGGTTTCAACAGAATGGTGCACCTGTGCACAATGCCCTAGTCGTGTCAGAATACCTGCAAGACAAATTTCCTGGAAAATATGAGTGTTATGGTAGTTTGTGAGAAGAGTAGCCAGCCTGAGATATATACCCCTACCTACCTGCAAATATTGTTCTATAAATAACAACATTGATAATACTTATTCCATTTTTTTGGGAGTACTCACAAAGGCAAAATGAATCGTCAATCATCTCAATAACGAAGTATCGGAAAAGAGAAAGCAGAGCATATAGGACGAGACACATCTGCTGGTATTGCCAAAACTTTCAGTTCAGTTCCAATATCTGCAGAACGTGGGGATTTCTTTTGTTGATGATCTAAATTCTAACCATTTGCAATAACATTGAAATGCAAATTGGCTATTGTATTTGTACAATGTACAGAAAAAAATATCACTTGTTGACGAGTTGTTGCGATGACGCGCACATTTTTGAGAGTTGGCAACCGTGTGACTTTTAGAAGAGAAAAAAGCTGTCTACAGTTCTATACCGTCTCCAGAGGATGAACGCTTCTTAAGTTACAATCATATTGGTCTGAGCTGTCATCGAGAAAGCATCGCATAGTTTAAGTTTGTTGTTTTTTTTTGTGTTTTGTATACCTACACTATATTTTTTTTATAATTTCTTATCTTTGTTTTTGAAATTGACATAATTTAACCTCAATGCTGCACATGTATATAGAAAATTGCCGTTAACTTTTATTGTTGTAATCATTTTTAGTGTAAATGCTTGCTCAATTTATGATTACATGGTCTTGGTCTGAAGTTAAACTTATGTATTTTACCATTCGTTTAAATATGTGAAAGTTATGTAATTGTTTGATAGTTATGTGTGTTACAAGTCCCAGTTGGCAAAGGTGATACTGGCAGTGGCGAACGTTTAAGAAAGTTCTTAGGCACGTTCCTTTGATGTTTCTTCTTCCTCTTCGGTGTTGTAAATGAGTGCAGCATTAGGCCGTTGTGATATTTCCACGCTAGATCCTGAGCTATGAAACAGCGGTGGCATTGTCATATTAACGTTACAGTACCCCCTTTAGGACATCTGAGTTTTAAATTTGAATTAATGTCACAGAGAGGTATGTATATCTTTCTCCTTTAATTGGGTTCTTAAAAACTGTATACCTTAGTTTATTCATGCAATGGTACTACCATATTGTATTATAAAATGTGTGACCAATAAAAACCGAGATCTTCCGTTGCTATTCTATGGTCAGTTTTTTTATGTGTTCGGAAGCGAGAACCATCGGGAAGGAAATTAAATAAAACCATTAATTTTGATCGTTCGAAACTATAACATTAATTTCATTATGCAAAAAAAGGAACCAACAAACAAATACAATAAGAGATCAATTACGAAAACAAACTCTAAAAGAGAACTATATCCCATATTGTATATCTACCTATAATCAAAAATTAAGTGAACGAGTTAACCAAATTTAAAAAAAAGGATACAACTGACATAATAAACACAAAATGGAAAGTAAGAGAAATTAAGTTAGTATAAACACACATCGTCTACTATTAATTTAACACGAAAAAGGTGAGAATGCAAGAAGTATTAAGTCAATTGTCACAGCAGCAATTTAATTAGAGGATCCCCTTCTCGTCTTGCTAAGACACTAAGCAGTCCGTACGTGGTGAGAAAGGAACATATGCAGCGCAGAATCGAAACTGTATTAGGTGCTTTCTCCATGGTATACGAGGTTATTAGAATCATATAGGGCAAGACACAGTGGATAATTCCTTATCTCCTGAATACATAAATTCTTAATAAAATAGCAAAGGAACGAAGTAAAGCTACCCTGGCTTCCTGTAATGCTTCATTCCCAAAAAACCCTCGTTCCGGCGACTGCGCAACATAATCGAATATCGACGTTATACCTACAGTGCATGTCGTATCTTTGAGCTTCTAGTTTGATGCAAGGCATGTAGTCCATCCATTTGAGGTCTTGCAATTTTTTCAATACAAGAAAATCGATCGCATAGTTTAGTTATTTCGACGTTGATAAGTTACAAAATTTCTGAATTGTAAAATTCTTGTTAATGAAACTTCGTATAAAAGTGTACATTATTGATTTAATTAATCATAAAGGTAAAACGCGTGCCGCTCCGCTCCCATTTCTTTCAGGATAACCTAAATTTGAAAATTATATAAAAATAAACTAAGGTATTCAGATCTTACATTGAGACCTAATAGTGTACGTTGCAGACTTAAAATGAAGGGAAGTAACAATGTAAAATTATATATTTACAACATTTGTACAAAATTTAAATAACACAACAATTATTATACATATACCTACCTACAACATATATTTTTATAACTCTGTTGAAATTTCTGCTTCATTGTATTTTCTATGGCAAATATGTGCACCGTTAGCGTGGGGAATAACATATGGCCCCTTTCTGAAGGTACCGTAAGTTTCTGTAGCTACATTTTCCATGGCTACTGGATCGCCATTTGTATGAACCGATAACGGATTAAGATTTGTCTTCGTTTGATAGTCCGAATAACTGTTCGAATTCACTGTGGGCTGACTGTTGAAGGAGGTGACGTGTAAAGCTCGCTGATCGCTATTTAGGTACATTTTGTTGTTATTGGGACTATTTACGAGAATCCGCAGCGGTTCGGCGTAATTTGTTTTGATGCTGTTTTGATTGAGATCGTTTTGGTTGAAGGGTCTCGGAGAATTTCTCGATAACGTTGATGGATTACTACTAATTGTCGGTATGTACGCTTTGCCGTAAGGTTCACGACGCTTTTTCACCGAATGGGTATAGTCTCGCGTGCCTCTTCTTTTTAAAGTGAAATCTCGCTCGCCGTTCTTCGCCTTGCTGTGCCACTGCACCCAACTGTAGCGCATTATTGGGTCGACCGGGCCCCAGTTTCGCAATGGTTTAGTGACTGCCACCAATTTCTATAACATAAGTACTCGTTATACGTGTCAAATTTCTGCAAAGGGCAGAATTTGGGCTCCTAGTACCCACAATTAAGTTCAGTTTCTAGTAAATGCAACGTAGGTAAGAGAAATCGGAGTTTAACACGCTTCCATTAGTGGATTCTTACGGAAATCTACAGGGAGCGCATAGTGAACACGAAAATACAAAACAAAAATTATAAGAAAAACATTGACAACAATTAAATTTTGCATTAAAAGATTGTTATGTCTATTTGCAACCGTTTTAAGTGTGGTGGTCCACAATACTGTCGAAAAAAATGTCAAACTTACATCGTTGAATGTGTAGTATTCGTCCTGTTTTTGTACTTGGTAACAACCAAGCGCAAAGATGATTACTAATGATGCGAAAACCAGCGCCCAGCCAACGCTATACAGCCACGCAGGATCTCTCTCCCAAATTCCAGTCAGGGATACGGTACACAAGGCCCAAATAAATAAGGCGGACAACACGAACGGAATTAGCCACCAAAAAACGATCCATAACTTCGACAGGCTCTTTCCAAGAATAAACTCAAAATCTAATTGAATTCGCTTTGATCCTGAAATTCAAAACGTTACACATGTATTTAAAAAAACATTAGTTTAAAGCACCATAAAAAGCAACAATTGCTAATATTTCGAACACAGTGCAGAGTAGGACTAGATTTCCAACCACGTAATGATCCAGCAAGTGAACCACGGCGAAATTTGATGGCAAAAGTAACAGCGCACTAAGTACCATTCCAACGAATGTAGTAATTACTAACGCTTGCCACCATGGTAACTTCTGCTTCGTTTCGACCCTCAACGCTTTGACTATGGCGTAGACCAAGGTTGTCTGTAATTAGAGTGTGGTAATTAGTCTTATTAGTAGGACTTTTGGAAACATTTTCCTATATTTTGGTGCTCAGTATAACAAATGACACTTTATTTACCAAAAGGAAAATTATTGAGTTTCCACTTCATTGGTGTGTTTTTCTAAGAAATAAAAAAATATTTTTTTCACTACTAGCGTCTGATGACATGATTATTAACCGTTTTTCCACTTGTAAAGTAGCCTTTCTCGGCATTTGTTCAAAGTGGTTAATAATGTGGACATTATTAACTAGTAGTCAATAATGAGAACTGTCACGCTGTCACTTTTAGAAAATACAACCCGAAATTTCGCTCAATAAACGTTTAGACAAGTTCTCTAAAATGAATAATTGCCACAATCAGCCATTTCCAGAGAAATTACATACCTAAAATTATCACATTTTGAAAAAATTCGAACGAAATTACTCTTTGAAAATATCTCAATAACAGAACAAAATACGGCCTGTTTGACTTGTACTTCTACGTACTTGATTGACATGTTAAATTAAGAAACAAAAAATTCTGTCCAACCGTTCATTTTCTTATCAATATAATATGTTAATTTAGAGGATTTCAAGTGCTAGTAGTGAAAAAAATAGTATATATACCACGGTAGAGAAGTCTATTATTGCCTTCGCACCTTACACCCCTCGGCGCAAGCGCCTTGAGATGTAATCTTGGTGCTCAGGCAATAATACTGTACTTCTCTACCTTGATATATAATGTACTATTATAATAACCGCTGCAAGTATGTACTATAGTTTTTTCTTTTTTATCCGAATTTGTGGAGCAATTTGAACGAAATTTTTATGGTGGGACCCTCTAATAAAAGTAAACAAAATGAAAGTGTCAAAAATCGTATTGCGCATTAGTAATAAATACTTCTTATTTTTTGTGGGGCGTATTTGATCGAAATTTGTATGGTAAGTTACTCTAATAAAAGCAGACCAAATGAAAGTGCAAATCGTATTGCGCCCAGTATAGAGTACACCCCAACATTAAAAACACCAGCGTAAAATACCCCAATTTTGGCGGCATTTGTGCGAAATATACGCACTCTAGCGACGGACCTCTTACTCTAGCGGTTTCTTAAAATGCATAGCATTTTTACCAGACTATAACCATGAGATTGACTAAAAAAAGAGACTTTCAATATATTAGCGCTTTTTCGAACAAAATTTTTAATGAATAAAATAAAATAAATAAAAAGGCGACTGCTTTACGGAGCTATCTAGTTCTAAAAAAATATGTATTGATTTTTGGAACATTTTTAATTTTGATTAATCTTAACGGTGCAAACAGAACATTCAACGTATGACCATGGACTTATGCGAGGACAGGTTTGATTAGACAGTGCCGGCTTATCTTCCAGTTGGCCTCGAAGTGTCATGCAAATAAATTCATAATTATCCCAAACATACGTGTCGGTCTACAGATTACATAAAATCTTGTTAATTGTTTTATAAATTATAAGTGTTATTATTTACTTGTTTAAATAAATAAATATAGATAAGTTTGCTTTTTCGGACATAATTGAAAGATTAGGTAAGTTATAATAGTACGACAGATACTACTAGTCCAGACCTTCCACTTACTCTTTGAGAATATCCTCTCCCGATACCATTGATTATATACTCGTATAAGTATATAATCAATGCCGATACTCTGTTTTAGAGACATTCGGATTTGAAGTTTTTATCCCACTGACAGATACATCTCGTTTTCCCTTTGAGAACACTCTCTTCCGACCTCCGTTTTCTAAATATTTAGATTTGCGAAGCCGACAGATACGTCTATTCCAGACTTGACATTTTTGCTTTGAGAGCCCCCTCCTTCGCGTCTCCGTTTCCACAACGTATTCGGGTTTGGAGATAAGATTTTTCTCCTTTTATGATTGCACTTGTGTTTTCTTAATCGAAACAATTATTGGATGTTGTCATATTGTGTGGGGAAATTTTTGTGTACGAGAGTATTGAATCAATTTTAATCAATAATTTTAGATATCGGGCATGTTTCGTGAGATTTTGTTTTGTTTTTTTTAATTCATCACAGACTACTTGATTAAAATTAACAAGTAAAAAGGTTTTCGCCCTAAGGCGAGTAACTTCAGCGCATTTTCCATAAATTGATCAATACTTCCCCAAGGGCCGTACCTATGTGCGCTATGTTTTTCATTACCTACTATATATGGTTAAAATTTTAAAGAAATATCTTCATAAATAAGGAAGTTGTCACTTACTGCGCAGTTGATATTGCGCGTCCTGCGCATGCGCTTATTAATTTGATATTTACAATATGCAATACGTTTGCTTTTACTATAAGCATCTTTGGTTAAAATTTCAAAGAAATATCTCCATAAAGAAAGTTGGCATTGCGCAGTCTGCGTATGCGCACATCTGATTTTTACTATATGCGATATATTTGTTTTTACTACAAGTACCTGTGATTAAAATTTCAACAAAATATATTAATAAATATAAAAGTTAACATTACGCAGCCTGTGCATGCGCAGTTCAATCGTCAAGATTTTCCTTGACTCAGGTGCCAGAGCGATACGCTACCGAATTCAAAAAGAACGAACTAAATATCTTGAAAACTGTAGGAGTAGTTAACACCTCGGACAGACGGACGGACAGAGAAAGTGGCTGCAATAGCGCACCCAACTTCGTTGGAAAATGCGCTAAAAACCGTCGATATATCTGGTATCTTATCTTATTTTGAATCTTATGCTATGATAGCGCGTTGAAAAGAGAATTAAACCAGGTGTCAAATTCTTGACAGAATAGCTTCCTAGCTGAAACCAAAATATGTACGCACTTACAGACGGGAAAAATTTATTCTTTAAAAGTTGCTTAAAATGATCTAAAACGTCAACATTTGATGCGCATTCACGATTTTTGCGCATGAATTTTGTTTGCTTTTATTAAAGGGACTTACCATAGAAATTTCGTTTAAATTGCTTCAGAAACAAGATCGTTGCGATTTTTTTTTGCACATATGCAACACAATTTTTTTCTCCGTTTTTTGATAATATAACCCGGCCCAATTTTTTGTAGGTTGTACACAGGAAAATAAGGTCTTCCAAATAATAGAATAAAAATTTTAGGTTGCTATTTGAAAGAAAAAGTTCGATGCCGTTACGGCGCTCCAAAATTTTTTTTCAAAAATCCGGCCCGTTATTTTTCTGTTCGGTATGCCTAAAACATATATACAAAATTTCAACAAAATCCGTCGAGCCGTTTTCTCAGAAAATTGCCAACAAACGTACGTACGTACATACAGACGGAAAAAAATTTTATGCTTTAAAAGTTGCTTAAAATGGTCTAAAAGGTCGACATTTGATGAAATTTTGAAATGTTCAAAAAACGGCTATCGCAATAGCTACCTAGCACATGCTAGGAAGCTAAAAATGTATCAAGTAATCTAAAATGTTCCTCAAAAGTAGCCATCTTGAATTTTTTTCACATCACACTTACCAATGAAACAAATCCTGATAGAATCAGCATGCAAAAGGTTACAATTGACCATATTCGTGCGTCTTCACTTCCAAATTCGCTGGCAGTATCATACACTAAACTAAGCAGATGTAATTCCGCAACTGGACCAGTTTTATATGTCGCCCCCAGCTTGCCCGAAAGAATAAAGCAGAGTATCACAGATACGATACCAAACACTAAGTTAATGATCACATAACCGACAGCGGTCCTGAAATAAACAGATCAGTACAATTAGCACTTTTCCCTACGGGCGGTTACCAAAAGGCATTCGCCTTGCTCAAGACTGTTCCCGCATTCGTGACGAAAGGACCGAATCCAATGTGCGTTGCAAAGAACACTTGAATGATCGCATAATACCATATCTGCAAAAAAAAATCATCCATTTAAAGCGTCACAGATTGCGATCGCTTACATTAGCGCTGCCTAATAACGACCACTCAATGTCAGTCGCGAACTTTTGCAGTCCTTCGAATTCCTGCTCCATCTTCACGGCTTTCACAATTAACGCTATCACACAGCCCAAGATAGGAATTAAAAAAATGACGAGTAACTTCGAATACGTTTTGGTCCTTCCGATTAGGCTAAAAGCAGCTTTCGATATTTTCGCAAATTACGCACGAATACTTACAAGCCCATTACCGTAATCCAAATTAGAAAAATTATTCCCACGTAAATTCCGTAATTTTTGGGATCCGTAAATGCGGACTCTAGGAATGTTTTTCTGAAATAATTGATGCGATGTGTGTCGGGTATGCTGCTGAACAAAGTTATACTTACTGCAGACATTCCTGGCCTGGTATTCCATCCGCCTTGTAGCCGGACTGTAAGTAAGAAAGAAAATTGTAATTATACACTTGCATACAGATGCATTGACTATTAGATTAATCCTAATCGAGTGCCCTAATTTCTAATAATAGCAACGGGAAATGCACTTGGCGGATTTCAGATAATAACCCCGTTTGCAGTTTATTCGCCCCACAATATATTATGAAAATAATCAAAGGAAATTAAACTCCTTTCTCGGTAGAATACAAATTACAGTGAAAGTGTTAATTAATTCAAGAGATGAGATTTTGACTTTAAATTATACTCCAGGGTCCAATATTTTCTCGCCATATATTCTAATCCAAAACTTTAAATTTTAATTTCCATTTAGGTAGACTTCAGATGATTCACTTTTTATATATATTGAAAAATTCTTAACTGAACCAAGCGGAAAGAGTTTCGTAGGTCATTTTTTCATAAATTGAAATTAAAGTGAAAGTGGTTGCAGTTAAAGATAATCATTTCAAAAAATGAGCAATGAAAACAACTCCTAATATTGGAGGAACAACTTTTTTAGGCGAGATTCAAATCTTAAAATTTAAAAATTCTCACCCTTCCATCTGCTCAGACACGTATGCTGTGATACCACGCATAATTATAGTTTGCGTAATTATTTTATGGTTATCAGAGATACTGGTTCTGATCATTTAAAGTAAAATGCGAAATTATTTTACGAACCCAGTAAATTTAGAGTGTGTAACTTGGACAAGCCCGAGTGTGTGATTTAAAAATTGTTTGTGAAAAAATAAATGCAATTAAATTTTATTAGCAAATTTAGCTTCTGTGCTCTTTTGAAGTCATTTCACCTCAATGATGTCGGCCTGTCTGTCTGTACTCTCATTTCGAGCCAAACGACTGAACCGATTGGAACCAAATTTGGTACACAATATTCTTAGACATAAAAAGAAGAGCTCAACAGCTTTTGGGCAAAATCGTGTAATGATTTACTTTCTCCATTAGCATTGGTCATGTGTTTATCACTTGTCGAAGAACCCCCGTAACATATAAAGTGGTCATGCAGTAGGTCCTGGTACTATTTGGATAATATCTTGCTTTTATATATAGTTTTGACAGTCGACATTGAAAATTGTATCTTGTGTTTACATATGTTTATAAATTAAAGGTTTAAAATGTACGGTGAAATTATAACACCCTGTAGACCGGTAACGGAGCGTTTGCGGACCTATGCTTATATGAACGTTGAGTCCTTTCCGTATTTACATCACAATGAGGAACACCCTGTATAGGTATTATTTAGAATATCCGCAAAGATTCGCGCAACAATAAATAATGACAGTAGATACTTTCCGTTAAAAAAAATTACAATTGATTGGTCATGAATGTATAATTTTGGCCAGGCGGCTAATTATAAAAATTACCGTACAGTTGATCACTGTGCGTGAAGATCTAACTTCCTGTTAGCATTAACTTGGTCAGTGAGGTGATCTTAATAAAATTCGTTCAAGTAACGTCCTTCGTCAAAATTTAAAGAAAAATAGTGTTCGAACAGGAAACTGTTGTTGTGTGGTCTTGTATATAATATTAACATCACATTCCGATAGGCAAATTACAGTCGTATATGAAACAGGAAGTTATGCAAACGACATTGCAAGCAACAAGCATGCATGGTATTGTTTATTAATAACAACAATTGTGGATAATTACAAAAACTGGAGATTTTAACTTTTACGTTTTATTAACTGGCTTAAGTCAATATAGCCATAAATTCTAAATCAATAATAGCCTTCGCAGGATCTATCGTGTTAAATTCGTGGTTACTGTAAGATTATATCTGTTTTATTACGTAATTATTCGCTCTTATTGTTATTATGCGCCTGTAATCACCACGTTATTGATGCATATCGGTGATTGGAAATTAGTAGCGTACGAAACCTAACCTACCATTACCCAATACACCTTCACTATCGTTTTATGATCATTAAAAGTTATTCACTTTTTACGGCAAACTAAAAGAAAAGGACAGAAATGTGATGTTTGTATAAAAAATAGGCAAATTATCATATAGGATACCACACAAATTTTGAAAATGTCAACACTTTGATTTCCTGTAATAGGTAAACTAAAAAAAAAAACAATAAAATAAGAATAAATAAACTTGTGACAAATATAGCAAATGAACTCGTGGGTCAGGGAAAATTTGGTCAGTTTTTCCTTGGGTGATGATAAACATAATACTGAAAACAGAATTCGAAAATTCGAAACCATTCGCGAGTTATCATGTACACAGACAGACGGACGAGCGGACAGAAAGTCCAAAATTATGAACTCGCTTAGGAGCTCGTTAATCAATAATAAAATGTTGCAGCATTTTAGTTTCTGATAGGATGGCAACATACATTGCATACTTTTTTTTTCCATTTAATTTCAATATTAAGAAACGGAAGTCTTCTAACTGAGTGAAATATATAAATTTTATTTCGATTTGTTTGTAAAGAACAACTTTGGATCAATGAAGCGAATACACTCACTCAAAAGGACTAAAATAAATAAATATTGATTTTTGGAGGGCTGTAGATGAAAATCGAAATTGATTGATATTAAAAAGTTCAATAGATGTCAATATTTTGGCTTTGTAGTATTTGCCATCAACCTTTCCACTATCTTCCAATTACGAATTTTAATTAACCTATATTATAAGACAGTAGGAACCTTTATAGAACTGGTAAACGCTTTGCAGTTAAAAAAATTTGGTTTGTTGTTTGTTAAACATACGAAAATTTACACATAGACCGCTCCATAGCGAATATGAATAAAAGTATGTCTGACGATAATAAGAACCGTATTGTGGAAAGCGAGAGCGGTTGCCACGATCTTTCCGAACCTAATAGTTTCGTTCCGTTTAAAGCCGAGAACGCGACAAAAATGTAGGTTTATTATTGGTTTAAAAAGGTACGCTAGTCCAGGTCCTTGAGTTCAGAAAGTAGCTCCCGTTTCAGAACTTCTAATTGGCAAGATTTAAAAAGCCAACGATGACGAACTACGTGAGGTACGCTGAAATTGAATTCTTAATGAAGTTCCGAGCGTGAGCCCGTACCAAATTGGGGAGCGACCACGTACAAATATTGGCGTGTAAAAAAATTTACCTGCAATTTTATGTGTGCGAATAAGCGAATTAGAGTAAATTTTGGGCTTTTTTATTTTGTGGTAAAATATACGCGAAAGAACATTTTCAAATCGGAGAACCGCTTTGCAAATAAAAAGCGGGATTAAATTTAAATTGACACTAAACTCACTGTAATAAACAAAGAAGTTTTTTCGGATCGCCAAATGTAACGGCTGTTTCACACCTTTAAGTTTAATTAATTAATTAAAACATTCTTATAATTCAGCAAGGTGGGAATGGTCAACAAGATTCCTGATATTTTGGGGATCCTCAAAAATTCCATACCTTTACAAGATTTTAATTTTTCTCTTGTCAGTGCTCGCTTGGCTGATAAGATATAGATTTCTCTCTGAACATAAGTTTAATATTATTTCCGAAGAAAAATCAGATACTTACGTCCGTAATTTTAACTGTCGCACATTCCGTAAACGGCGGTGGGCCCTTGCCGAACCATATTAAGTAATTGATAAACAATCCAATATACAACGAATAGTAGAGGCTAAGTAGACTAATTGCTCCGAACTTGACGTAACCCAATCCTAGAAACACAAAAGAAAAAGTATTATGCATAAAGTTGAAAGTATAAAATTTACGCTTTTAATTGCGCGGAATTCGTGTAACAAGTAATCTTTTTAAACAAATGGAATTTAAAATATTATAAAAGTTAAAGTAAGCGAAACGCATCTACATGCATTAAGTGTCTACTTAAGCCGACGACCGAAAATTGCTGGAAAGTGATACCATTTTAGGTATTTTGAACAAAACACAAATTTCCATTCTATTTACTTTACTACAAAACATCAAAATTATGTAAATCTAACCTCGTAATTTAAACGCGTTCGAGCTATACCGTTGCACCAGTTTGATTCCGTTTTTAAGGACAATGCAGATAATCAAACCAACCTTGAGAAGATCAATCAGAAGATCAAGATAAACTTTCGTAATTGTATTAGCAAACGGAAAAGTTACACAACCCAAATTCTCCCGTCATTTCCTGTATACCGGTCAATTGTTTTACACGCTTAGGTAAATATTTGCTTTATTTGGGCTTAAACAATTTATGTAGCGGAAGACGGCAGGTGTCTTTGAACGAATAAAGTCTTCCTCTTACCCTAGCATAGCATTGTAATTGTTGTAAAACAATAGACGACGTTTTGTTTCCTAATTATACAAGGTGTTACATTTAAAAAATACCAACGACCCATCTCAGAAACAGTGGTCCAAAAATGTATCTTAACTATGCAGTTTTCACATTTTTTCTATCTTACATGGCACATGGGTAGTAAGATATGATACCCATATAGCACCATTCGTCCACTAGACGTCCTTTTTGTACGTACACGAGACGTTTACGTAGGGACGTCTTATGTACATACGAGCATAGTTGGTATAATTTGTATTTTGTAATAACATTTGTTCTTATGTCTAATTAATCAGAAATAAGGAATCTTACATGAATGAATTAGGATTAAAATTTGATTTAAGCTACTTTAGTTCCTTTCTTTTTACCAGTAAAATGGCCGCTGAAAAGACAAACAGCTGACAGAGTAAACAAGATTTCAATGTCTCTATATTTTTTGCCTTTTTCTTCATAATAGCACGTGGTGCCGTCACACCTGCCTTTATTCGACCATATATGTACAGTGTACGTACATGTTGGACGTAACTGGGATGTACAAATTAGTGCAAAACAGACAAATTATGTACGAAAAACGAACGTTCAGTGAACGAAATGAGGACGTACTATGTGTACGAACATATGTCCAAGCGATGCCGTCCATTGGACGTCCATGAGTCAAACTTGTGTAACATCCCAAAGAGCCAAACTTATTGTTTCTGTATCTCGGAAACAAACGTAGCTAAATTGAT